AGATGAGGAGGATTGGAGTAATCCGCTGAGATCACACACAAGCCAGTGCAGCATGGATGGACCTCAGAGCCCTCTCAACTGCCATTCTGCTGATCAAGCAACTCAGGGTTTTCTTGGAACTCTTTGTAGCTTGACTCAGGAAGACCCGAGGGGTACCTGTTACCTAATTCAGAAAAGTGCACAGTTGGGCTCAGGGGGGTCATGTAATCTTTCTGGGCTTGGAACCACAGCTCTCCCTGTTGCAGGGCTTCCCCCCAGTCCTGCCTCCCCCACCCGCCCTCTGTTTCCAGAGCTTTGTTTTCCAGGTGTAACAAAGGGTTTGTTGTGGCAATCTGAGCAGGGTGACTTGGCACCATAAAAACTATCACATGTGCTGTTGGCATAGAAGGCTGCCAGGCTAACAGTGGAGTGTGGAGCCTCCAGCTTCACTGCGGGGGATGCACTGGGCCCTTCTAGAGGCAGTGGCATATAGCCCACAGAGGTGGTAGTATTACCTGTGTAGCCTAGGGGAGGGGAGACAGCCTGGGATGGGCTGCAATCCCTAGGGGGACCACCCTGGAGCCAAGGCTGCTCTAGGAAACCCAGTGCTCAGGGATCTCAGGCAGCCATCTAAAGTGGGGGAAGGAGGAGCGAGAGGAGATGGAAGGAGAGCAGGGGAGCCAAAAAGAGGCCCATGTTCATAGATAGCTTTGACCCTTAATTGTGTGACCTTGGTCAGTCATTTTACCTGAGTCTTTCCTTGTCTTTCTTTGTCTCTGTCTTTTCTCTCTCTCTCTCTCTCTTCCTTTTTGGAAGTGCAGAGAGTCAAACCAAGGGCTCTGCACATGCTAGATGAGAACTCTACCACTAAGCTCCACCCACCCCAACCCCCAGCCTGCATCTCACATTCTTCACCTGTAAAATTATCCTTCCCTTGGGATTATTTCTGTTCCTAATTGGGGTATGCAAAGGTCTCTCTCCAATGCCTGGTACAAAACAGTGCTCCATTCCATCCAAGAGCTGTGTCTCTTTGGAGCACTATTAGCACAAGATGAAAGAGGATGCTTTCTCTGTGGGCTGGGAAGGTGGCTCAGTGGTAGAGCACTTGCCTTGCTATGCCTAAGGCCATGGGTTCGATTCCTCAGCAGCACATAAGCAAAAAGAAAAAAGCCGGAAGTGGCACTGTAGCTCAAGTGGTAGAGCACTAGCCTTGAGTTGAAGAGCTGAGGGACAGCGCCCCATGACTGGTCCAGAGTTCAGGCCCCATGACTGGTCCTAAAAAAAAAAAGAGGATCCTTTCTCATTTTTCTTTTCTGCTTTCTCTTTCCTTCTTTCTTTTTCTTTCTCTCTCTCTTTCTTTCTCTCTTTCTTTCTCTCTTTCTTTCTCTCTTTCTTTCTCTCTTTCTTTCTTTCCTTCTTTCTTTTTTTAAATACTGGTACCAGACCTTGAACTCAGGGCTTGGGTGCTATCCCTGAGTTCTTTTTTGCTTTAGGTGAGCACTCTATCACTTCAGTCACAGATCTACACCCAGCTTTTTTTGGGGGGAGGGGGAAAGGCGACAGGTAGTTTGTTGGAGATAAAAGTCTCATGGATTTCCCTGCTCAGGCTGGCTTTGAACCACTATCCTAGATCTCAGCCTCCTGAGTAGCTAGGATTACTGATGTAGAGCCACTGACACCTGGCTGTCCCTTAACTTTTTTGCTCAAGGCTAGCACTTTACCACTTGAGCTGCAGCTCCACTTCTGGCTTTTTGGTAGTTAACTGAGATAAAAATCTCATGGAAGCCAGGTGTCTGTGGCTCACACCTGTAATCCTAGCTACTCAGGAGGCTGAGATCTGAGGATTGTGGTTCAAAGCCATCCCAGGCAGGAAAGTCTGAGCGACTCTTATCTCCAATTAACCACCAGAAAACTGGAAGTGGTGCTGTGGCTGAAGTGGTAGAGTGCTTGAACTGAAGAGCACAGGGACAGTGCCCAGGCCCAGAGTTCAAGACCCATAGCAAAAAAAAAAAAAAAAAAGGAAAAAAAGAGTCCCATGGACTTTTCTGCCCAGGCTGGCTTCAAACTGGGATTCTTACTGGCATGAGCCACTGGCACCTGACTCTCCCACTAATTCAGCTCTCATACCACCTCTCCCCATTGCTCCACCCCATACCTCACAGTACTATAGCGGGGTCTGTCAGTTTCCTGCCCTGTCATTCTGTCCAGGCCTCTCCAGTCTAAATGGATCTGTCCAGTTGCTCCCCAGATCTCACATCTACCCATCACCTCTCATTTATTTTCTCTCCTTGTGGCACCCACGGTCTCCCCCCTACTGTCTCTTTGTCTTCTATAAATATCTTCAGTCCATATTCTCTTCCAAAAAGCAGCCCCAAACTGTTCTTGAATTTGCCTAGACTTCCCTCTGTTGCCGGAGCACTGAGTTCCATCAGCGAGTGCACCTCTATCCTTGGCCTGCCCCTTTTGTCCTCTCCTCTGTCACCTTGACTCCCCACCCTCACCCCTGATCCGTGGTTCCTGCCAAGGTCACTGGTGGCCTTGTTCCTTTGTCTTCTCATCCTCCCCAACCTCTTACATGGTATCAGGCTACCCCAGTTGGCCTGAAAGCTGCCTGCTCCACCATTTCTTTCCTACTGTTCCTTTCCCCTGCTTTGTGTTGATTTCCTTTCTCCTATCCTTACTGGTCATCTTCCCCACCTCCTCCATCTGCAGGCCAAGCCTCTAACATTGGGATTGCTGATGGCTTCCTGACTTCAGTTGGGAGCCCTTTTTCCCTGGTCTAAGATTTGTATTTTATTCTTATACTTCCCTCAGGCAGCTCCAGTGCCAGATGCATTCGGCTCAACACTGCTGCTTCTCTCCAAACCTACTCCTCCTGCCACAATCCCTCTCTCTGGGATGGTTTCCCCAACCAACCCAGGGTTCCGGGGGCAACACCTAACAGGTCCTCCTGGGCTCTGTGCTGGCTCTTGAATCCCATAGTCAATTTGATGTGAGAGCCTGGTGACAATTCTTCTGGTCACCTGTGGCATCAGCTAATGGGCTCGAACCCCCTGCCGAGCCGGCAGATGAGTATTTACTTTGTGGCTCCCCAGAACCTTTATTAGATCTGTGGAAGGACCATATTCTTTATCAGTACCAGCATGAGAGGAAGACAAGCTGGAACACTGGGTGCAAAATTGAAAGAAATAGTCCTTGTCGGGGTGAACAAGTGCCACTCTAGGGGTTTTTAATTAAATTTGGTAAGTAGTGTGTGTGCGTGCGTGCGTGCGTGTGCCTGTGCGTGCATGCATGCTCCTACTGGGGCTTGAACTCAAGCCTAACACTCTTACTTTGCTTTTTCACTCAAAGATAGTGCTCTATCCTCTTCTTCCAGCTTTTTGCTAGTTAACTCCAGATAAAAGAATCTCATAGGGGCTGGGAAGGTGGCTCAGTGGTAGAGTACTTGCTTTGCATGCCTGAGGCCCTGGGTTCAATTCCTCAGCACCACATAAGCAGGAAAAGACAAAAGTGGTGCTATGGCTCAAGTGGTAGAGTGTTACTCTTGAGCTGAAGAGCTGAGGGACAGCACCCAGGCAAAAAAACAATAAGCCTCATATTTTCCTGCCCAGGCTGGCTTTGAACTGTGATCCTCAGATCTCAGCCTCATGAATCGTTAAGATTATAGGCATGAGCCACTAGTACCCAGTCCTGTTTCTTTTTCTTTTTTTTTTTGTCAGTCGTGGGCCTTGAACTCTGGGCCTGGGCGCTGTCCCTGAGTTCTTCAGCTCAAGGCTAGCACTCTACCACTTGAGCTACAGCGCCACTTCCAGTTTTCTGGTGGTTTATTGGAGATAGGAGTCTCACGGACTTTCCTGCCTGGGCTGGCTTTGAGCCGAGAGCCTCAGATCTCAGCCTCCTGAGTAGCTAGGATTATAGGCGTGAGACACCGGCGCCCGGCTTGTTTCTTTTCTTAAGGCTAGTTACTCTACCACTTGGGTCACAGTGCCTCTTTTAGCTTTTTCTGAGTAGTTTATTGAAGATAAGAGTCTCAATACTTTCCTGCTCTGGCTGGCTTCAACTGTCATCCTTAGCTATCTTGCATACCTAGGATTACAGGGATGAGTTATCAGTAACCAGCTTCATCCTTCTTTTTTGACACATCTGCAGAATGTCTTACTTTTTATTTTTTGTTTTGTGAGGTGGTGTAGCCCAGGCTAGGCTAGAATTCATTATGTAGCCAGAGCTGGTCCAGAACATCCAATCTTCCTGTTCTGAAGAAGTATTAAGGTAATGGGTGTAAGCTACCACACCAGCAACAACTCTACTTTTGTCCTTAGAAGTGGACAAACTCTTTCCAAACTCTAGGAGAGATAAACAGGATGTGTACAGTGGAGGGTGGGAATTTCAGAAGCCATATAAAAACCTTGACTGCCACACAACAGTTTAGCAAATGACAATGCCGATACTCAAATACAGCCTTGTGTTTGTTTTTGAGATGGGGGGGGGTCCTCAATATGATGCATAAGCTGGCTACACACCCCTGGACTCAAGGGATCTTCCTCTGCCTCCTGATTAGCTGGGTCTATGGTGGCCTCACTACATCAGCCACACTTTAATCTGAAGTGTGTGCCTTAAGGTGTGGAGGAAAAGGAGACCAACGCTGAGAAATTGACAGATCTTAGGAGGGCTAAGTCCAGCAGAACATAGGAAATGCTGAACACAGTACCTGGCTCACAGTTGGAGTCTTGGAAGACCAAGACCCTGGCTTATAGAGCTTTCCGCTTCCATACACAGCAACACTAGAGGTGAGGGATGGCGCTAGAGGTAGGGGAATTCCAGCAGATTTCTTGGCCTCCTTTGTGCTCTGTGCAGGGCTGGACGAGGGAGTCCAGCCAATACACCTTCCCATTCTACCCCTCACTAGAACATAAAAGATGCTTACCCTCCTCCCTTCCCTGTTCCTCCCTCCCACCATCCCTGCACCATGAAGAAAGGAACAAAGTCAGGAATTGATGCTGCATTTTTTTTTTTTTTAAATTTTGCCTTCTTAAAGCATGTGCTGAGCTAGTGGAAGGGAGCGGTCTGGCAATTAAAAAGGCCCAGCAACTTGGGCAGCAGTGGCAGGAAAGGCCAGGAGAGGGTCTGTGTGTGTATGTGTGTAGGGGTGATGCCCTCTGTGCCAGGCCAGGGAAGAGCAAAGCCCGCACTGACTTTGTAAAATATAAAACAAGGGAAGGAGACGGTGGGAAGAAGATTTGTAAAATACAATATCTTAGGGGGTTGGCAATAATAAAAAATAAGGTTCATTATTTACAAACAATTTCTGTTCTTGGTCTCTGTACAGTGGGAGGTGGGATGGGGTGTGTGCATGTGTGCGTGTGTGTGTGTGTGTGTGTGTGTGTGTATGAGGAGGAGCAGGGGGCTGTGGTGGTGGGAGTTTAATGGGAGGGAGGGTACCAGTGAGTGGTTTATCTGAGGACGGATGGTTGTGGGAGGGAGGAGGGGAGAACAGAGTGGTTAGCCCAAGGGAACAGTCCAAATACTGGGGGCACATAGAGGCCCCAGCCGCCATATGGGCTGGGGAGGGTTGGGGAGAAGCAGAGCCCTTCTCCTGGAGTAGGAAGCCCCAGGGCAGGGGTACAAGCTGGATTGGGGTCAGTGAGCCAGAGAACGCCTCTTCTGGGAGCCAAGGGGTCCGTCCTGTGTCCTGAGTCTTGGATCAGCCTAGGAGAGTTTGATGGTGGTGTTGGGGCCCAGATCCCTGGAGAGAGAAGACAGGATGAGTTTGACCAGAGCAAGCCCTCTCTTTCTGCAGGTGATCTGCAGCTGAGCTAGACCCAGGGAGGACTGGGGCCTGGGAGCTCAGGGTGACAGGGGTCAGGGGGAGCCCTGGATCACGCCCACCTGTCTTGGAACCACTCCTTGGTGTGGGAGAAGTTGGGACTGGTGCCATTGCCGCTGTCCTTTGGCCAGGCCTCACTCAGGTACTTTGTGGTCTCGTGGGTGCTGTCCGGGTGGTCATGCTGCAGGTGGTCCTCGGGCCGCTGCTCTGCTGGCTCCCCTGGCTTGATCTCCCAGCCTTCTGGGGGTTCCACAGGCAGCAGGGCTCCATGGCCTTCTTCCCAGGAGCCCACCCCATCGTCATAGAACAGGAGGTTTCGGGAGGGCACTGGGGAGGAGATGCAGGGTGAGCCCCAGGTACCCCTCAAGTGTGCCCCCTCTCCTCAGCCTGGCCAGTCATGGCCCAGTAGTGAAGGACACAGGCTCTGAGATCTTACAGGTCTGGATCTGAGCCCCAGCTCTATCCCTTTCTGGCTGTGTAACCTCAGGCTAGTCATATATTTTGCTTTGATCTTTCTGAGCCTCAGTTTTGCTGATCTGTCAAATGGCAATATTGGGATCATATAGGGGAAGTGACTGAAACTGTGGTTAGTAAAAGGGCTAGCTCAGAAAATGTTTTGGGCAGAGAGAACTGGGTTCTAATCCCACCCCTACTGTTTACTTTCTGGAGGACCTGGAGTCTTCCCCATTCTAGGTTCTAGTTTGTCCTTTGGAGAAATCAAGAAAATAAACATTTAATCTGGGTGCTGGTGGTTCATATCTGTAATCCTAGCTATTCAGGAGGCTGAGAGTTGAGAATTACTGTTTGAAACCAGCCTGGGCAGGAAAGTTCATAAGTATTTTTTCTCTAATTAACCACTCCCCAAAAAATCAGAAGTGGAGCTATGGTTCAAGTGGTAGAGGACCAACCCTGAGCAAAATACAGACAGTAAGGACAGCTCCCAGGCCCTGAGTTCAAGTACTTTTACCAACACACACACACACACACACACACACACACACACACACACACACACACACACACACACAGTGATAAAAATTTGTTGGGCACTTGCCATGTGTCAAGCATTTATATAAAGCTCATAAATCCACATCAAATTAGTAATTTTTTTTTTTCCAGAGCTGAGGACCGAACTCAGGGCCTTGCGCTTGGCAGGCAGGCATTTTTCCGCTGAGCTAAACCCCCAGCCTCAGTAAAATTTTACAGAACTTCAATGAGATTTCTTTTGGGGGGAGGGAAGGCAGTACTAGAGTTTGAGCTCAGGACCTTGTCATTACTAGGCTATTGTTTTACCACTTATCAGCTCTTTTTGCTTTTGAGTCATTTTTTGAATAGGATCTAATTTTTATGCCTGGGCTGGCCTAGTAGCCAGTGACCACCCCCTACAGACCACCTGTAGGATGACCACCCAGACAATTCTCCTATTAATGCTTCCTTCCTGTTTATATTTTGTGCAAAGCTGGGATGATGGGTACACACAACACTTTCTAGCATTTTATGGGTTAGGATGAAGTCTTGCTAACTGGCAAGGCTGGTCTCCAACCATGATGCTCCGGATCTCAGCCTCCTGAGTAGCTAAGATTACAGATGTGAACCACCATGCCCAGCTGGTAATTCTTTAGCTCTGCTTCCCAGAGCAGGTAGTCAATGCTCCAGGATGCAAGATGAGTTGTTCTGTACTAGTCCTTGCAAAAACCCAGGACTTCCCAGCTCTGGGATCTGCCGTAGGCTTCCAGCCACCCTCTCCATCCTCCATGATCTAAAAGTTTGTCTGGAAGGCCTTCCTGATATTGTGCAAGGCACCAGCTCCGGATATCAGCCTGCTGATTTCCAGAGTGCTCCCCTTCCAAAGCCATGCCCACCTCTTGGCCCTGCCTAGACACCAGCCTGAGGGGCTACATTCACTGCAGGCTCCTTCCTGCTCCACTTCCTCTCACTGGCTCTGTCCTTCAACCCGACCCCATGGCAGCCATCTCCTCTCTCATGGGTTCTTTAGGTTTGGAAGAGCAGCTATGTGGCCTTGATCCCTGCTACCCCCCCCCCCCCCCCGGCAGCCATCCCCCTCTCCTTCAAGGCTTCTCATCCTTGCTCCCCTCCTCCTTCCCCCTTCTTCCCTTCTTCCCTTCCTCTTCCTCCCCGGTTTACTTTCTCCCTTCCAGGCCCTCAGGGTCTGGTTCATCCTCCATGCACTCTTCATCCTTCTAGAAACCCCACCCTGTTTTCCTCTCTGTCTGAACCTCCCATCTGTTTCCTCTTCCTCCTCCTCCTGTCATGCTTCATATGTGCTCCTAGAAAATGATGGATAGCCTGGAAGTTCTTCTATAGGTCTAACTGAAGTATCCTTTGCCTATTGTTTGCTACCCTGGCTCTCCCTTTACCACAGATGTAATGGGGCTTTTCTTTCTTGTTGGGATCTTCCAGAAGGGAGGGAGTGTGCTCCCTTAGTACACGCCAGCTTTTCTCTGTTCCCACCTCAAGTCTTCACAACAATCATATTTAGGGAGGGCTGCTCCTGTTTTCCAGAAATTCAAGCTTAGAGAGCTTAAGGTGCATGCCCAGGGTCACACAGCAAATGGCAGTGCTGGCTGAGACAATCTAAAGCTCCATGTTCGGAACCACTGGATCTCACAGTACTACACGGGGAGAGCAAGTATCTGAACCCCCACCATGACCACCCCTCCTTTGCCAGGGGTCCCCTTCCTGTAGGTGCTGAGTACTGCCTCAGAGTTTTTCTAGTGTGGTGGTGGTGGTGGTGGTGGTGGTGTGTGTGTATGTGTGTGTTGGTACTAGGGCTTGAACTCAGGGCTTCACTCTTTCCCTTAGCTTTTTTTTTTTTTGGGTCTGGTCGTGGGGCCTGAACTCTAGGCCTGGGCTCTGTCCCTCAGCTCTTCAGCTCAAGGCTAGCGCTCTACCACTTGAGCCACAGCGCCACTTCCGGCTTTTTTCTTTTTGCTTATGTGGTGCTGAGGAATCGAACCCAGGGCCTCAGGCATGCAAGGCATGCTCTACCACTGAGCCACCTTCCCAGCCCCTCCCTTAGCTTTTTTTGCTAAAGACTGGCACTCTACCACTTGAGCCATACCTCCAAATCTAGTTTTTTTTTTGCTGTCTAATTGGTGATAAGAGTCTCACAGATTATTCTGCCTAAGATGGCTTGAAACCATAATCCTCATATCTCAGCCTTCTGATTAGTTAGGAATACAGATGTGAGCTACCAGCAACCTCAGAATCCTTCCTTCCTTCCTTCCTTCCTTCCTTCCTTCCTTCTCTTCCTTCCTTCCTCCCTCCCTCCCTCCCTCCCTCCCTCCCTCCCTCTCTCCCTCCCTTCCTGTCAGTTGTAGGTCTTCAATTTGAGGCCTGGACCCTCCCTGAGCTCTTTTGCTCAAGGCTAGCACTCTACCACTTTGAGCCACTTTGAACCACACACTTCCTGTGTTCTGGTGGTTAACTGGAGATAAGAGTCTCACAGATAAGACTTTTCTGCTGGGGCAGGCTTTGAGCCGTGATGCTCAGATCTCAGCCTCCTGAGTAGCTAGGATTACAGGTGTGAGCCACCAGCACCTGGCTCAGAATCTTTCTTAGCACAGTGCTTCAGATAGCTACCATTTTACTGGAAATGGTGTTGAGTTGAAACTCATTTGCTGTCCCAGTAGTGAACTATTCATGCTGCTGAGTGAATGAATAAAACCACCGCCATAATCATCTCTGTAGGTCTGATCTAGAACATTCTTTTTAGTACATAAGCCCACCTCCTCCCAGTGATTTCTGAAGCTCTTGGAGAGGTAGAGCAGGGAACAGGAGCTTTGTGTCCTGGTCCCAAGTCTACCATTAACATTGAACAAATCACAGTCTCATCAACAAAATGAGGAGATGGGAGAGGATGAGGCCAACTCTGAACATGGCTTCTGCCCAGAAGCTGGAGGTACTCACTCTGACTGGCTGTGTAGACACTGTCAGTGGCAATGGGGTCTTCCTTCACAGTCTGTGAGCCAGAGGAGAACTCAGGAAGGCAAGGCACAAGGGAGCCCAACACCAAAACGAAGCACAGAGCTGCCACCTGGTAGTGGACAGACTGGCCATTAGATGTGGGACAGGGAGGGGCTGCCTGGCTGGCGAGTTCCTCCACTTCTTCTCCCACAGCAGCTTCAAGAGATCTGGCCTCATGGGAACAGGTGGAGGCTGCACAAGCCACCCCAGTGGACTAGAGAGGGCGCCAGAGGCAGCCCTAGGAAGAAGAGGGGGAGTGCCAAGGAGAGGTTATTATCTACTGGGTGAAGGAGTCAGGAAAGGAAGAATAGGGTTGGGAGATATGGGGATCACAGCTAGGATCTAGGAGCGGGGGGGGGGGGGGGACATAGCCTCAGAAGGGAGAAAGGAGGAGCTGAGAGTTGGGGGAGCCCCAACTAGGTTCCATCCCTTAGGATTTCAGAGGCCAGCTGTGCTCAGCCAGAAAAGAGGAGAGAGGCAGAGGCCTGAGCCATACTCTGGGTATCTAGGGATTAGCTCAGGATTATCCTAGCATTCATTCCAGAAAGAACGATGCATATCCAGACCTCCCTGAATCTCCCCTAGTCCATCACGCCAATGGCCTGCAGAAGCCATCTCCCTATGGGACCTACCTCTGGCTGGGGTCATCAGGGGTCAACCTGCACACCCAGTATAGGATATGTTGTAGGGCCTTGTGTTGTATAATGAAGAAGGCCGAAATCTTTGAAGGCCAGGGCACCACAATCCACCAAAGTTTAGCCCGCCTTCCTAGAAAACCAGCCTAGGAAAGAGCTGTCCTTCCATGGGCTTGTGCTTGGGGGAATGGCACCTACCATGAGGCAGGTTCCAGTCTGGGTGGCAGCCATCTTGTAAGGTCTGGAGATCTTGCTGGTGACCAGAGTCTGGAGTTTCTGCAGCTGCTGGAGCAGGGTCCTAAGGAGGGTGCAGTGGTCACTGAGGAGACTCCAACCTAGCAGCCATCTCTGCCTCCTGGGGCTCTTTCCCAGGATGGGGATTCTGGATGGCTCCTGACTTGGCCTCTACGCCAGTTCCCCATTCATTCAGTCAAGACAGAAAAGGTCACCTCCCGCTTGGCGGCTCTCTAGTATGGTTGAGGCATCTGTGGCTTGCCTGAGAGTGGATAGCTTGGTTACTCTGTGGGAGCTCAGAGGTGCCCTGGGATACAACGTAGCCAAGGAAGAGGCAATGGGGGGGGGGGGGGGACTGGCCCCAACTCAGGGAAGATATCGACCACAGCCATATTGACTTTCCCTCCTTTGCAGTCCATAACATTCTTAGCTCACATGGGCAAGCCTAGCCCAGTGTCTGGTAATTCCACCAGTAAATGGCACTTATTGTTTAGGTTAATTTTATTGCTGTTATCACAACACTTGTAACCATCGTTTATTTGCCTGTCAGTCTTCATTGCTAATTGTGGGCTCCCTGAGGGCAAAGACTGGGTCTCACCCAACACTGGAATCCTCTGGGTACACACACAGAGTTTTGTTTTGTTTTTTTAAAGTATCATTGCTCTCTTGCATCTAGCAGGCTGGTGCAGTTCCAAGAGTGAACAGCAGGTGGCGAAATAGCTCCAATGGTTCTATTGGGGCAAGAGGTAGAGGGGTGAGGTGTGAGGGCTCCTCTTTCCTGCCCAGCTGGCGGTAGAGGGAAGGGGGGATTTTCCAGGCCCGTTAGAGGAGTGGCTGGATCCCACTGAGAAGCTATGGCACAAAAAGGAAGAAAAGAAGAGAGTCTGGACTTTTACTGTATGCTAGGCTGTCTTCTTACTGTAATTATTCTCAGAAAAATGTTATCCCAGACCTACCCTGAACTCATGGCTGGGCACTATGAAGAATTTAGAGTGGGGTTCAGGTGTCTCACACCTGTAATCCTAAATACTCAGGAGGCTAAGTTCTGAGAATCTTGGTTCAAAGCCAGCCCAAGCCAAAAAGTCTGTGAGACTCTTATCTCCAATTAGCCACCAGGTAGTAGAGCTCAGGTAGCTCAGGAAGTAGAGCATTAGTCTTGAGCAAACAAAGCTCAGGGACAGTGCCCAGGCTCTTCAAGTCCAGAACCAGGGACCAAAAACAAAACAAACAAACAAAAAAAAGAATTTAGAACAGGAGCTGGAGGCCTGGCTCTGGTGGCAGAGTACCTGGCTAATAAGCTGGAGGGTCTTAGTTCAAGCCCTAGTACCATTAGGAAAAAGAATAAAGAAAATGTTGGAATAATTATAAAAAAGGGAAAAGAAATAAATACGGATTTAGCATTCTAAAATCTCCAGCATTGTGCTAGGCCCTTTAATTGCACCACTTCAGAACTGAACCTATGAATAAAGCTTCTAACAGCCCCTATTGACAAAAATATAAAAAAAAAATTGGAGCCTAGAGGTCTCACAGCCTCCTAAAGTCACAAAAATGGAAGAATGGGACAAGAACCTAGAGCTGTGACTTGATGCTACATGCCAGGTACTATACTAGTGTTTCTTTTTAAATTTTCTTTCTTCCTTCCCTCCCTCCCTCTCTTCCATTTTTGTTTTGAGACAGGCACAAGATCATTCTGTGGCCTAGGCTGTCCTGGATTTCATGATCTTCCTGCCTCTCTGGTCAATTGACACTAACATTCTGACACTAAGTTTCTCAAACTTAACTGTGCATGTAAACCCATTCAAGGTTCTTGTTCAAATGCAGCATCTGATCCAGAAAGACTGGGGAGAGTCATGAAATTCTGTATTTCTTACAAGTTTCCATACAGAACTGATGGGGAGAAGTGGCCCTGAGTAGCTTTGAGTGGTCCTGTCCATAATCCTAGCTACTCAGGAAAGTGAGAGCTGAGGATCTCAGTTCAAAGCCAGCAAGGGCAAATCTGAGAGACTCTTCTCTCCAATTAAACAGAAAACTTAAAAGTTGGACTGGAGGTGTGCTTCAAATGGTCGTGTACTAGCTAAGAGAAAAAAAAGCAAGCAAGAGCTTGAGACTCTGAGTTCAAGCCAAGATACTGGTGCACACACACACACACACATACACACACACACACACACACACACACACACAGATTTTACACCTTAGGAAGCAGTGGTTTACTTGCAGACTTGTTAAAACAGATTGTTGGGCCCTCTCCATGGAGTTTCTCAATAGACTCTGCTCAAGGTCTGAGAACAAACATTCCTAGGGGATGCTGATGTGTGTGTGTGTGTGTGTGTGTGTGTGTGTGTGTGTGTGTGTTTGTGTGCGCATGTGCGCACAAAGGGGTGTCTATGGACCACACCTGGGGAACTTCTGCTCCATATCATTTCACCTAAGCATCACACTACAGGTGTGTAGTGTCTTGGGCAGGCGATGAAGTCTGGGAAGGCATGGAGAGCTAGGACATAGGAGGCTCTGGGCTACAGGGGTTTGTTTTGGGGGTATCCTGCTGAACTTCTCTCCTGCCTCCCAGCTCCTAAAGTTGGGCAGAGCCAGAGGGCGGGCTACGGTGAGCCAGGGTACCAGGAGGGCACTCATGTTGCCACCCACCTGTTGGCATTCTCCAGCGTCTCCACTTTCTTCCACAGCTCATTGTTTTCTGATGTAAATGTCTCCACCCTAGAGAGGCCAAACAGGTGTGGGTGGGGGTTCAAATGCTGCTCCTTGGCCCCACCAATCATGATTCTACTCCCTTTACCCCATTCCCTGTGTCTAGTGCCCCATGAGAGAGGGTCAGGCCCAGGCTCCACCCCTTCCAGGACCCTTACTTCTTTTCTAGACATTCCACGTACTCTTTCTTCTTACGCCGGCTTTCCTGGGCAGAAATCTAGATGGGAAGGTCCAAAATGGGGGGGTTACGATCGCCACATATCCACTTCCTGCTCCCCTCCAATTTCACCTCCCCCCACAACCCATCAGAAAATCCTTCAAAACCCCAGGGTAGGGAGGGGTGTTTCAGGCTTTACCTTGTTCTTGATTTTCCTCCGGACTCTCTTCAAGGCCTTCTCCTCTGCTTTGGTGAGGGGCAGCTTGGTGGGGATGGGGTAGCCCTCGGCGATCAGGGTCCGCTTCTCCTCCTCGGTCAGGAGCAGTGGCCCCGAGGTCCCCTGCAATTTCTGTAGGAAGCAGGAACCAGCTAGTCCTGGGTTCAGATTTAAGCTGTGTCCTGTACGATTTGTGCACTGTAACTCCCGAGCCTTACTTAGATTCTTCCTGAGGGTGGGGGGAGGGTATGTGTGTGCCCTGGAGTTCAATCTGGTAACACAGTAGCAACTGCTAAAATGGGGCTTGAACACAGGGACACACTTAGGGCATTGTTGGGGAGGGTGCCCTGGATACTGTCCTAGAATTCTCAAATCTCATTTGTCCCTAAACAGCACCTTTCTGTGCCCCATCCCCAAGGCTCAGGGGCCTGTGCTTTGTTGTCCCTGACTATAAACTTTGGCAGCAGCCTGGGTAATCCCTCTAAAGCCCAGGCATATCAAGTTCCAATCCTGGCGCTGGGACCGTCTAAGCCTTGGGGATCTCCTGAGGCCTTGTCTCCTGGGGCCTTGTCCTTATACTTTCCAGGGAGGCAACTCCCTAAACTCTGGTGGGAGGATGAGGGAGTGAGGATCAGACTTGGAGCTCCCTAACCCTCCCCACGATCAGTACAGTAGAGGGATTTCCTCAACAGCTCCGGATTAGGATCAGCCCACCCCCAGCTCCTTACATGAGGGGCAGTGAGGAGCGGGGAGGTGGAGATGGCCGTGGAGGAGCGGGCCATGGGCCGGACAGGGCTGGAGGGGGGCAGAGAGCGGGGACTCTGGGAGCCATCGCTGTCACTGCCGTGGCTGCTGGGGGGCGTCGGAGGCATCTGTACCAGGTCTTCTGGGAAGAGAAGGGGACAGGTTAGAGCAGGGTTGTGTCCCCGCTCTAACACTGTGACAGGGTGAGTTCAGCCGGGCCCCTAGGCTCCTTACACCGCCATGGGGCTGGGGGGGTGGGGGAGGGGAGCAGACACCACAGACAAAGGATGGCTCAGCTCAGAGAGCCATGGGCCAGCTCTTGTCATTTTGCCCTTCATGTGGGTACCCCAAGTGGTTTCTCCCCCACCTCTAGCTTCACAGGATTTGGGGCTTTTAAGTCCCAGCTACGTAAGCACTGAAGTCAAGTTCTTTTTTTTTTGTACAAGTACTGTGGCTTGAACTCAGGGACTAGGTGCTATTCTTTAGCTTTTTCACACTAGACTAGCACACTATCCCTTGAACCATATCTCCACTAATGGCTTTTTTTTGGGGGGGGGGAGCTGGTTAATTGGAGATAAGGGTCTCATAGTTTGTCTGGCTGTCTGTCTGGGCTGTATTTGAACCACAATCCTCAGATCTCAGTCTCTTGTGCAGCTAAGATTACAGCCAAGAGCCACTGGCACTGAGATGTAATTAGGGTCTTAAAGCAGACCCACGGGGCTCAGGCTGAGGAAGAAGCAATCTCTCCTTTCCTTCCACCTTGAAATAGGGAGCCATAACCACTCAGGGTTTGCGTATTCCGTGTTAGGGAAGAGCAGGCGCTGGGATTTCAGCAAAGCAGGGTGGAGGGATGCCATCTTCCACCATGGCATTGGCAGGAAGATTGCCAGTTTGTGGGTATATGGAAGAGGTGCCTGGAGTCCAGGCTCAACCGAGGACCAGGAGCTCAGATGCTGGGAGGGCCGCTAGATTGGAAAGCTTCCCTTATCAGTTCCCTTTATGGCCAACTCCAAATAACTCGTGTGTCTCCTTCTCTTGTCTGGTCTGCAAACGAGCTCACAAAAGTACCCTGGGTTGCTGCTGTATAATTAATTGGTGGTTTGCCCGTGATGATCCTGGAAACTCTTTAGTCTACTGTCTTTCTGTTTTCTTAGTGCCTCAGACTAGATGATGCTGTCCAGTAGGTTCTAGTTCGAGGATGAATAGGTGATTAGATGGGTGGACAGATGGATGCTCTAGATGGATAATGGATGGATGGATGAGTGGGTAGATGATGGATGGTTGGTTGGATGGCTAAACAGTGGATGATGGATGGCTACTGGACGACTATTGAGTGGGCTTCAGCTAATGAACGGACATCAGGAGGGTGAGAGAATGTAGATACAGTAATGGCAGTCACAGATGCGGTAAGGGGCACTCGATACAGAAGAGGGAGCATGAGTGGAGGGAAGTAGGTGGGGAGGATATCTGGTTCAGAAGTCAGGACTCTGAAGGACACTGGTGGGCTAGGCCAATAGTGGAGGAGAAAAGAGCCCTGGACACACTCACCTGGTGTCACTTTAAGGAACTGGTTCACCTCCTGGGGCTCTGCTTTGATCACTGGCAGTTGAGCCATGTCTCCTGGAGCCTGGAAAAGAGACAGCTCCAGCTCCATCCACTGCCCCTCCAGTCTACCTCCCTCCCAGAGGCTGGTGTTTCTGCCCTATAGTCAGGGAGGTAACTGGGCTTGGGGGTGCTGGGTGCAGCAAGAGGGGAAGAGAGGTAAAGCCTCATGCTTGGAAAAGCCAAGCTACACTCAAGAGGGGAAAATGCGGCCAAGTAGTACAGTTCAGAACTTAAGCTCAGAGGAGGAGGTTTTCTATGGCCTCTAAGACCAGGCCTCCTGGTGGAGGCTGACCCTGGGCTGATGGTGAAGGTCACTTAGGTGTTGCTATGTGGATGCCATGAGGATCTGAGGTGCTGTCTGGCACACAGTAGCTGACCAATGAGTGGAAACAGTAGATAAAAGGAGGGATTACTTGGTGGGAGACTCCGAGAAAGTCTCTAGAAACTAGGGTTTGAAATGAGTCTTGGTCTAGAATCCAGGCAGAGAAGTTGAGGCAAGGAGATGGCTTAGTGCGTTTTAAGCAAGAGACTGATGGCATCAGATTTTCTTTCTGGGTGGAGACAGTACTGTGGATGGAATTTGGGGCCTCTCCCTTCTAGGCAAGTACCCTGGGGCTTGAGCCACATCTCCCTGTCTTTTTGTTTTGTTTCTAGTTTGTTTTCCAGATAGGGGTCTTACTGTGTGTGTGTGTGTGTGTGTGTGTGTGTGTGTGTGTGTGTGTGTGTGTGTGTGTGTGTGTGTGTGTGTGTGTGTGTGTGTGTGTGTGTGTGTTGGGCCTTCAACTGAGTGCCTGGGATCTATCCCTAAGCTTTGACATCCAAAGCTGGTGCTCTACTACTTGAGTCACAACTCTACTTCTGTTTTTTTTTTGTAACATCATTTTTGTATTTGCATGTTGTATTCCCCTTCCTTTCTTAAAATCCTGAAGCTCTGAGAAAAGGAAATGGCCGGGGCCAGCTCCATCTCTGAGATCCTAACTGGCCCTCCAATGCCCAGCCCTTCCTGGTGCCATCTTACTCTTATTCAGAAGCAGCCAGCTCACCCTGAGGTCGCCGCAGTTTGTATCCATTGTAGAAAGGCAAAGGGCAACCAGCAGGGAGGCAGAGGCCTGGCCTGGTACTTCTAACCCTCAGCCCTGAGGTTGGCATTGTTCCCCTGTTCACAGAGCTGCACAGCCCCCCCCAGCCCTCCCCCCTCGGCTCCTACCTGAGTCCCAGGCTCACCTGGTGGGGGATGGGCAGCCTGGACAAGGGGCTGAGGCCCAGCAGAGGGGTGGTGGTCATAGCAGCAGCAGCCATGGCTGAGGAGGCGGCCAGAGGGTCCATAGGCAGCTCTGGGTTCTGCTCCTGTTTCACCATGATTGCCAGTTTGTGACCCAGTGCCCAAGCACCATGCTCCACGTCTGTGGAAAAAGGCAGTAACCCAGGCTCAGGGGACTCTGAGCATACAGCTCAGGTCCCCTCCTGCTTGCTGGCAGCTGATCTGGAAAGGATTATGGAGAGGTGCTAGGGTACACCTGGAGGTGGAAAGGAGAGATGGGGACCCTGGTGAGGTGGAAGGGCAGTCTGGGCAAAAGCAGGAGAGGTGAGGGTGTCTTCTACATTTAGCAGTATAGGGACTGGGCTGGGATGCTGGACATGGACCCTCCAGCCTGGCTGTGTGACCTCAAGCAAGTTGCTGATGCTGGACAAGAAGCAAATGTTCAACAAATGGCAGCCAGTGTGAAGATAGTTATTGTTATTCCATAAACATCTGCGGTCCCAGGTGCTGGGGATCCAGTATGGAAGGGAACACTCAGGGGTGTGGAAGATGGAGTCAGAGAGGCCAGGGGAGTGGCTGTGGTGTTGTATACCTGCAATCCCAGCACTCCAGAGGCTAAGGTGGGAGGAGGGCACCATGAAAGCTAGCTGAGGCTCTACAACAAACGCTGTCTTTAAAAAATAAAACATAGGAGCCGGCGCCAGTGGCTTACGCCTGTAATCCTAGCTACTCAGGAGGCTGAGATCTGAGGATCCCGCTTCAAAGCCAGCCAGGGCAGGAAAGTCCCTGAGACTCTTATCTCCAATAAACCACCAGAAAACCGGAAGTGGCGCTGTAGCTCAAATGGTAGAGCGCTAGCCTTGAGCTGAAGAGCTGAGGGACAGCACCCAGGCGCCCAGAGTTCAAGCCCCATGACCAGCCCAGCAACAATAACAACAAAACCCATAACCCTCTCCCCCCAAAAAACCCCCAAAACCAAAACAAACAAACAAACAAAAAAACAGAGAAAGGGAGAGAGAAGCAGCAGGCAGCATGATGGCATGGCCTTGGACCTGGCCTGGAACTGTGACTTTACCCGAAGGTAAGGATGTCCTCTTTTTTCTTTTTCTTTCGGTATGTTAGTGGAGATAAGAGTCTCATGGCCTTTTCTGTCCAGACTGGCTTCGAACCCCAATCCTCAGATTGGATTACACACATGGGCCACGAGCGCCTGGCTCCAGGGATGGAATTTGAACATGCACAAATTCATAATTTTAAAAGAGATCCTTCTGTCTGTGAAGGAGAAGATGGAGGCAGGGAGACCTGCCATCAGAGGCTGTTAAAAGAAATGGTCCAGGCAAGAGAGGATGAGGCCTGAACACAGGCAGACAGCCGGGATGGAGAGGAGAAACTTAGTAGAGGTCAGTTTGGAAGGACACAGCCAGAGCTACAGGCTGTGGGGCCCTGGGAGGCATGTGGAGGATGGGAGGGGGAGGGGTGCTCAAGGGTCCCCAGGGCAGAGTTCACTTCTACCCACCTAGTAGGTCCTCTGGCCTCCCCAGGACTACAGGGCTCTCTGGCACCATCCTTTTCTGTGGATGCTTACAGCCTTCCACCCCACCCCCTGCCCATGCTAGCCCTCCCTGCCTGGATGAAGAGAAGCCGCAGTGAGTGGCGGCTGGAGACAGCAGGCTGGGGAGGTCTGGAGGAGGCTCTGGGGCTCATTAGGGCGAGAGAGAGGTCAGTGATTCCTCTGATCCCACCTCAGAGGCCAGGCCGCACCCTACTAGAAGCCTGAGTGCCAAGGGCTAGAGGCTACCCTCATGTCCCAGAATGCCCACAATTTCCCCAAATTATAGGGCCAGGCTGCTGGCCTCCGGGAAGCTGCCCCTGTGAAGGGCCACAGACAAATTGTTTTAAAAATAGAAATGGGGCGGGGCGCCAGTGGCACACGCCTGTAATCCTAACTATTCAGGAGGCTGAGATCTGAGGATTGCGGTTTGAAGCCAACCCAGGCAGAAAAGTTCCCATGAGACTCTTATCTCCAATAAACTACTCAAAGAAGTTAGAAGTGGCACCCTGGCTCAAGTGGAGAGTGCTAGCCTTGAGCACAAAGAGGCTCAGGGACAGCACCCAGGCCCTGAGTTCAAGTCCCAGGACTGGCAAAGAAAAAAAAAGAACTGGAGTGGCTAAAGAGGTTCTGGAGTAGCTTAGTAGAGTGGATGGAGAACCTCCCAGAAGGCCAGAGGAGGGTTACACTCCACACCCAAGCCTTTCCCCAGCTCAGGGCTAAAGATCTAGAAGCTTTGCTGAGGCCAGTGCTCAGTAAGCAGCTGGGACCTTGGCAGCCACAAACCCTGGAGACACATAAAAATCTATTATGGTAGGGGTGCCAGTCTTGCTCAATAACAAGCTCTGGGCCCTTCAAGGGTAACTCAGATTCCTGCACACAGCATGTCTAAGACCCTGATGCTCACTTAGTAGCCAACAACTGCTGTTTTCCATTTAACAGAAGAAAGAATTAAGAAACTCATTCAAAACCAGGTGGTGGTGGCTGGCGCCTATAATCCTAGCTACTTAGTAGGCTGAGATCTGAAGATCTGGGTTCGGAGCCAGCCCAGGCAGGAAAGTTCTTGAGACTCTCATCTCCAATTAAAAAGTCAGAAGTGGAGCTGTAGCTCAAATGGTTGAGTACTAGCCTTGAGAAGAAGGCTCAGGGATAGTTCCTAGGCCCTGAGTTCAAGCCCTAGGACCAACACACACACACACACACACACACACACACACACACACACACACACACACACACACACACACACAGACACCAAAATTTCTCCTCCCTCCCTCCCCCCCTCTCTCTTTCTTCCCTTCCTTCCTTTCTTTCTTTCTTTCTTTTTTTCTTTCTTTCTTTCTTGTCCTGGGCATTGTCCCTGAGTCTCTCTATGCTCAAGGCTAGCACTCTACTATTTGAGCCACAGCACCACATCTGGCTTTTTCTATGTATGTGGTACTAAGGAATCGAACCTAGGGCTTCATGCATGCTAGACAAGCATTCTACCACTTAGCCACATTCCCAGCCCGCACCTCCAGAATTGCTTGGAAATCTGATTCCACAGGCTAGGCTTTTTTTTTTTTCACCTGTCTCTTGCCTGGTGCTGGTGGCTCATGCCTGTAATCCCAGCTATTCAGGAAGCTGAGATCTGAGGATCATGGTTCCAAGTTAGCCTGGGCAGGAAAGTCCATGAGCTTCTTATCTCAATTAATCACCAGAAAACGGGAAGTAGAACTGTGGCTCAAAATGGTAGAGCACTAGCCTAGAGCAAAAGAGCTTAGGGACTGTGCCCAGGTTCTGAGTTCAAGCCCCACAAGTGACAAAAAAAAAAAAAGAAGGGTCTCTTTGTATCTCAGGCTGACCTGGAAGTCCTGCTTCAGCCTCCAGAGAGCTGAGATTATAGGCAAGTCCCAACCACACTTAGCCAGTGGATGCCTTGCATTTCTAATAGGCTCCCTGCTGATGGTCTGAGAATCACACTTTGTGAATGACTTTTTTTTTTTTTAACCCGAATTAGCAAAACAACCTGCTATTGAGAAGTGGCTCAGAGATCCAAAAGGTAGGGAACTGGGACGCCCTGAGGGTTATGGGTGGCTCCCTTGGGAGTCCTAGGCTACAGGTGCTCCCTCTTGTCCCTTAGAAGTGTCCACCCTCCTGGGTCTTCTGGGCCTGTGGTGCCCCTGGGCCTGCTCTGCCCTCGGGCCCTCCCACTTACCATGGGTGGTGTCCTCCATCTTAACGGGCACTAGGGGGCTCTGAGGCGCAGAATCCCCGCTCAGGGAGTAGCTGTGCTCCGCCTGGATGCCTGGCGTGGGGGAGTCCAGTTCCATGTCCAGCAGAGGGCTCTTCTCACCCAGCACAGGGTCATCAAAGAAACTGCTGAACAGGTCATTTGAGAAATCCTCCATGTTTTCCACGAAGTGGTCCAGGTGCTCTGGAAAGTGCTGGAATGGGGAGGAATGGAGGAGAGGGGTTGAGTGGGGTCACCTCTTCATTCCTGTTCCCCTACCATTCCTATCTCATTGTCACCTGGGGGAAAGCAAAGGAAGGGGTGACATTGTCCAAAAAGAATTGTCCTCTTTACCTGACTTAAGAAATGGGACAACCTTAATAATAACAATAAATATGTATATATACATATACACACACATATATATTGTTGGCTGTGGGGCTTGAACTCTGGGCCTAGGCGCTATCCCTCAGCTCTTCAGCTCAAGGCTAGCGCTCTACCACTTGAGCTACAGTGCCCCTTCTGGTTTTCTGTTTGTGTGGTGCTAAGGAATTTACCCCAGGGCCTCATACATGTGAGGCAAGCACTCTACCACTGAGCTACCTTCCCAGCCCCAATTATATCTTTTTAAAAAGAAAAGAAAAATTGTATGGTCACCATGCATCTATTTCCCCACCAGCATCAGGCTCTGGTCATTTTTTTTCTTTTCTTTTTCTTTCGCGCGTGCGCGTGTGTGTGTGTGTGTGTGTGTGTGTGTGTGTGTGTGTATGTGTTGGAACTGGGGCATGAACTCAGGGCCTTGGCTCTGTCTCTTAGCTTTTGGTTTTCTTTTTTCCTCTCAAGGTTGGCACTCTACCACTTGAGCCACAGCCACAGGTCCACTTGTGGCCTTTTACTGATTAGATGGAGATAAAGAGTCTTACAGACTTTCCTGTCCAGATCGGCTTCACTCCATGATCCTCAGATCTCAGCCTCCTGAGTAGCTAGGATTACAGGTGTCAGCCACCTTGCGCCTGGCAGCTCTGGTCCTTTCTATGGTCACCATTAGCACAGCTACCTCTGCTACCCTCTCTGCTCTCCCCAGTATCGAACTCAAGTGAGCTCTGCAAAGACTCCCAGGCCCCAGTGACAGGATCCCAGGAGCTGGTCACATTGTACCTAGCTTTAGTGTGCATCCCAGGCCCCTCTCACCACCTGCCTAAGATGAAGTGAAGACTAAGAGAAGAACTATCCCTAATGGTAAGCACATATCCCAAGGGGAGTATTAATGACATGGTGTTATCTTTATTTTCTGATTTTTTTTTTTTTGGCAGTCCTGGCTTCAACTTGGCTTGGGCGCTGTCCATGCTCTACCATCTGAGCCACAGCACCACTTCCTGCTTTTTTGAGAAGTTTATTGGAAGTAAGAGTCTCATGGAGTTTCCTGCCTGGGATGGCTTTGAGCCACGATCCTCAGATCTCAGCCTCCTTAGTAGCTAGGGTTACAGGCGTGAGCCACTGGTGCCACAGCATCACTTCTGGTTTTCTGGTAGTTTATTGGACATAAGAGTCTCATGGACTTTCCTGCCCAGGCTGGCTTTGAACCATAATCCTCAGATCTCAGCTTCCTGAGTAGCTAGGATTACAGGTGTGAACCACTGGAGCCCAGCTTGATTTTTTTTTTTTTTTTAAAGAGAAAGGATCTCTATGAAGCCAATACTGTTGTCCTGCCTGGCTTTGAATTTGTGATCTTCCTATCTCAGTCTTCCAAGTTCTGAAATTATAGCTGTGCATCACTACACCAGGCCCAAAGCATTCTTTATGCCAAGAGCTTAAGCTCTGGAGCCCGCTGCTGAGGTTCAAATCCTGTCCTACATACTTCCAGTATGACTCAGGACTCTGCAGACTGGGGGTGATGACTCATTATTGGATTATGAAATCAATTTAGTGGGTCATGACCAGAATCTTTAGAAGTCTACTTAGAAAATTTTTACTTTCACACATAACCCTTGGACATATTTATGGGGTACAGTGTGACATTCCAATACATGTGACCAAAACATATGACCACCACTCCAGGGTAATTAGCCCAGCCATCTGCTCAAACATCCATCATGTCTTTGTGATAGGAGTGTTCCAAATCTTTTCTACTAGTTTTTTTTTCTTTTTTTTTCCCCAGAGCTGAGGACCGAACCCAGGCCCTTGCGTTCACCAGGCGGGCAATCTTCTTCTGCTGAGCTAAACCCCCAGCCCCTCTACTAGTTATTTGGAAATACACAATTAGTTGTCAAGCACAGTTGTCTTACTGTGCAGCTATAGAACATTATACGTTACTTCTTCCTCCCACAGCTCCCATGAACCATCCTCTCTCTCTACCCCCTTTTCCTCATTGCTCGTGGTGACCACATTCTACTAGACTTCCATGAGACCAACTTCTTCAGCTTCCAAAAAGGTGAAGACATGGAGGATTTACGGCCAAAGTCCAAGGGGAAAAAAAACCCAAAAAACAGACTATCCACATGCCGGTGGCTCCTACCTGTAATCCTAGCTACTCAGGAGGCTGAGATCTGAGAATCAAGGTTCAAAGCCAGCCCAGTCAGAAAAATCTATGAGAATCTTATCTCTAATAAATTACCAAAAAGCTGGAAGTGGAGCTGTGGCTCAAGTGGTAAGTAGAGCACTACCCTTGAGTGTGTGCACACACACAGATACACACTCAGACAAAGCTCAGGGACAGTGCCCAGGTCCTGAGTTCAAGCCCCAGGACTGGTACCAAACAACAACAACAACAAAAAAGAGCAAAATAAGAGTAGAACATACAAGAGTGCCTTGCCCATTTGAAGTTGAATACCCAGGGAATTTTTGTTGTTGTTGTTTTTGGGCCAGTCTTAGGGCTTGAACTCAGGGCTTAGGCATTGTCTCTTGGCTTTTTCGTGTGTGTGTGTGTGTGTGTGTGTGTGTGTGTGTGTGTGTGTGTGTGTGTGTGTGTGTGTAGTTGGAGATAAACTCTGAAAGACTTTTCTGACTGAGCTGGCCTGGAATCATGATATCCTTCTGAGTAGTCAGGATTACAGGCATGAAACACCAGCTTCCAGCTCTTGGTGAAACTTTTATGTCAGTTATGTGTGGCTGTGTATGCATGTATTGATATAATGATGGAAAGAGGCTCTAGGTTCAGAGCAATCTTAGGCAGAAGAGTCCATGAGACTTTATTTGCACAAATAAAAGCAGGATCTAGAAGTATGGTTCAAGTAGTAGAGTGCCAGCCAAGTAAACAAGCCTAGCCAAGTGCTAGGCTCTGGGTTCAAACCCTAGTACAGTAAACCCTAGAATCCCTGCCCCCCATTAGGAAGGTTTACAACAGTCTCTAGCATATAGTTGTTACAGAACAAATGTTACATTTTAATATTAACAAAGCATTCCAGAGGCTGACAGATATTAGGTGACTGTAAGTTATATCTTCTCTCTGGAAGGAATTTCAAATGTATAAAGCAATCTTAGAACTTTATGAATAACTGCGGGCTGGGAAGGTGGCTCAGTGGTAGAGTGCATGCCTGAGGCCCTGGGTTCGATTCCTCAGCACCACATAAGCAAAAAGAAAAAAGCCAGAAGAGGCGCTGTGGCTCAAGTGGTAGAGCGCTAGCCTTGAGCTGAAGAGCTGAGGGACAGTGCCTAGGCCCCATAACCGGAACCCCCCCCCCAAAAAAAGAACTTTATGAATAACTGCAGTTGTAATTGGAAGGGGTGGAAAGTTCTACTGGTTGCATGGGTGAGGGCGAGAGTCACTTTCTTTCTTTTGTGGCCCTGACGAGAGGAAACAGTCTCAATTTAGCACAGATTAGCAAAGAAGCTATCTGTCTACGAATAAGATCTATGGCCACTTGGACCCATCTTTGTGGAACGGTCACCCAAGTCACTCTGGGCTAAATTTCTTAAGTTCTCTGTACTTCAAGGAAAAAAACAAAAACAGTTCCTACCCCATAGGATTGTCATGAGGATCTAGTGTTGGTCAGATGCTTACTAGTCACAAGATTACGAGGATAAAATGAGTAAAGTTCTACAGAGCTCTTAGGAGAGCACCTAGTAGGAAGTGAGTGCTCAAGGGTTGTTAGTTATTAACATTATGAAAACCGCAGCCATGCCCACACTCTGGGCTTGAGTTGGAAACCAACAGAGCGAGAGGTGGCTTGGATTTCTCCTCCAAACAAAGCAAGAGGAGAGGATCGTCCTGAGAGACTGCTGACAGGTAACCTCTCACTTCTGGTCTGCCAAAAAGCAATCATTCAACTTATTGTGTGTGTATGTGTGTGTGCTCGTGTGCGTTTGAGGGGTGCCAATCCTGAGCTGGGCTGTCCCTTAGCTTCCCCCATCCCCCAAGACTAGTACTCTGCCACTGATGCCACAATTTCACTTCTGGCTTTTTGGAGAGGAGAGTCTCATAGTCTTTTGCTGTCCAGGCTGGCTTCGAATCACAACCCTCAGATCTCAGCCTCCTGAGTAGCTAGGATTACAGGCCTGAGCCACTGGCATTGTCACTGTTATGCTTTGCCACCTTCTAAAACACTCTCACCTGTATCATTTCAGGTAATTACCCAGTGTTTAAGGACAAGCATTTGATGAGGAACATGAACCAACCCCAGGGAGGCAAGCAGAGACGCATTGCCCACCCCTTCCCCAACAACCACACAGCTTTTCCTGCTTGAACTGCTGTTTCCTGCTAGACTGTGAACTCCTTGGGGGCAGGTTTGTGTCTTGTTCACCTGCTTGGACACTCACTAAATAGGGGTGCAGGGCCAGGGTCTTGCATCCTAGAGAACAATACCACTACTGTATCAACTGTCCATCAGTGCCTGGGGTGGGGGCAGTATCAGGAGATCAGAGGCCTCAGCTAAACAAGTCAGCAGGGACAGCTGCAATTCCCAGACATTAGTGCTTTATTGGGTAACTCCTTCTCCGACGCCCCCCCTCCCCGCCCCCTCCTTCCTTCCATCCATCTATCCATCCATCTGTCCATCCATCTATCCATCCATCCAGCCATCCAGCCAGCCAGTCATCCAGTTTAGCAGCCAGGGCCGTGCTGGCCACGCCCTCTGCAGAGCCGGGCCTGCCCAGCCGGGGGCGCCATCTCTCAACACTCCCCGTAGGACGCTTCCCAGGCTGCCGTGGGCCGGGTGCGGGGGGGGGGGGGGGGGGGCCGAGGAGCAGGAGGGCCGTGAGTCAGCCGCTAAGGTATTT